CTAAGTTTCACTTGGTGACTCAAACCATCAGTGCTATGTTGGCATCAGAGTTAGTCCCAAAACAAACTGGGAACTCAGCTCATTGGAAGTTTTGGTCTATGACAATTATTTAGTCAAGATTTTAGTAGAGCCACCAGACTTGTGTCACATGCCAGGCACATGGGACCCAATCTGCTCAGTCTTTAACTAGGTCCCATCAGTATCCTCTCTCTGGGACAGTATCAGGACTTGCTAATCCAAGTGTTAATAACTTGCTGTATTAACTAGTATCCAGGGAATTTTCCCACTTTTTCCTCCCCCTTCACATTCCACCTATAAAACCCCACTATTAATAGCAAGGAGGAACAGTCAAGTGGTTCCAAGACAACAGTGGATCAGATTCTTATCATGCACTTTCATCCACTCCCAAAGGCTGACTATTCTTCACAAAGACATTTTAGACATACACAGATCAAAATAATTACCTGAAGAGTTATATTAATAGATTTAATGAAGAGCTATCAGAGAGATTTGAAAGGGTCCTAACAGTCACGATGAGCTGTAGGTTGGCAGGGTTTTATGGAAAGAACAAAATGAGAGGCAGAAAAGGAACTGCTGATAGTGTCTAGGCTGCCCACACTTCTGTACAGTGTGCCAAACTCTCTGGACTTTGCAGGTGCTATGACACCTTGGGGGAAAGTTTGTGCTTTTTCACACTACAAGTCCTGCTCATGTGTGCAGCAGAATTATTTATGGAACTTCCTCCAACTACAGAGATAGTACTAGTGGGATTTCTGAGGCCCTATGTGGTGGGATGACACATCCCACTGAACAGAATATAAAAGCTTGTCTAAATTGCAAAACTGGAAGTATTTATGAAGAGAGGGCAAAGATAGTGCACATTATTTATTGTAGAAGTTAGTAAGTGCTTGAGGGAGATAAATGACCATGGATGCTAAAAAAGAATAAAAAAAATAATAACTACTTTTCACCTGCCAGTGGCACCATACCTTTAGAATATCTAGATGCTACTTTCCCAGAAAAACAACCTTTTTTAAACATATCATTCAATCCCAGCTGAGTCTGACCCAAAGAGTAGTATAGTGGCCTCCTAAAATCTTAAATCCACCCTCTGAAGCTGGTGTAGCTCACAGCTCCTCCAAATTCACATCTTAGCCAAGTCCAGCTCACACTCATATCATATGTAGAGCAGAAAATCCCACCTGCCCTCCAAAAATGTTAGCATTTTGCATAACTCACTACTAAAAATTAGGTATCACAGATTGCTATGATGCATTATTGTGGAAAAAGATCCTTAGGTTGTTTCTTTTATATGCTCTGGAGAGCTGAAAAAGTCAGAGCGGTAAACTCAGCTGAGATGAACTCTTATGTATTTCACATTATTTTCCCCCATCCACTCTCCCTCTCCTTTTTTTTCCTAAACTCCATTTCTTCACTTTTTCCATCAATATCTTCTCAGCAACCTGTTACAGAAATATATTACAACATGCTATCCCAGGATCCTACACAATATCCCACCACAGAGAGAACACAGTCACTAAGACTAAATATTGTGTATATGCCCAAGTACTTGATGGAGGCTTGGATCTTGCTAAAAGGCAGCTGAGAGAAACTGCTGCTCCATTTTTAAATGCTCAGTGCTACTAAATACGAGATTCTTGGTTTAGCAAAGAACCCTAGGGCTTAGTCCCATCCAGATATTCACAGTACACTTCGTTCCTGAGGGTCCCACAGATATCAGGAGCATGGGGAGCAAAAGGCAGGGGGAGAAGGCGAGATGTCTGCTGAGCAGAAATAAGAAGAAAGAAAAGCACTGGCTGAGTTCCAGAAATTAAAATCTGGCCCCACTGAAGCAGGCAGGAGCTTTGCCACCACGGAGACAGAATTTTACCCAATGTGAACAGTATTCTGGGAATACCCTCCCTCCAGACACACTGTGGGAGGTCTTCTGGCTCTGAATAATCACTGGAAACACAAAAAAGGGAAATTAAACCCAAACCAAGACAACAATACCAGAACGATTAATCAACAGACAAAAAAGAATGTGACAACAATGAAGTGAAAAGGGTTGCAGAAGTGGGTGGAAAGAAGGTGGCAAATCCTTTACACCTCCTGGGCCGCTGAACTTTGTGAGGAAAAAGGGAGGATGCAAGGACTTGTGGTGCTGGGTGCAGGGGGCCAAGTCAAGGCTGCACTGGAGCCTTGGAGTCTGCACAGATTCGATAACAACGGGGAAAACACTTGTAGTGCAATTCAGCCTTGGAGGAGGCTCCCATCAGTAATGCTATATATATATATATATATATTTATATATAAAGAGGCCAGAACCTAGCAACTTCAGCAAAGATTCCTAGCAGCAATCAGAGTCATCACTTACAAATTCCCAGGCAGGCTAGTTCACAGCAAGGGCACGCTCAGCAAGCTCTGTAACTGAGCATTCTGGATATGAGGAATACAATAAACAGACACAATGCCTATAAAGTTCCGTCTACTCTGACAGCTATGACCCAGTTATTTAGCCTACGGTTGCCTTCTGATTTAGTTAGCATTTGGATTCACACAACTATATATAAGGTCCTGGATGCTCCCCTTTCACTCCCTCAAGAGTTCAGGTTGCCTACAATGCCAAGGTCTACGTTTCAGACTGCCTGAGCCCTCCAAATTCTTATGAGGCAATTAAAGAATCAAATTCCCATAACTGCTGGAACTCAGCCCCTAACTCCCAACCAAAGATCTCTTCTTTGCTGCAGCTCTGCTGCAAAAACGGGGCTAAGTGGCTTTTCTGGGAACTACTGAAAAATGCACCACACTGGATGTGGTGATGGCAGCAGGGAAAGTTGCACATCTATCAATAACAAATATTCAAGTATTGCATTGCCCTTTAGATGAGAAATTCAGATGAAGATTCATGTCTACCTGCCAATGATGAATGAATGACAGCAGCTAACTAAGCTTTAAAGCAGATTTCCATGAGTGACTCTGTGCACAGCACAGGCAGGCATACCCCTCCTTTTGGAAGGTCCCAAGGTGCTCTGAGCTTTCCTCAGTTTTTCCATCCTCTCAGAACAACTGGAAAGGCTTGCTTCCCCACCCATACCTCTGTCAGTGTGAGGTTCACAAATTTCACAGAGCTTGGGCCACCTGCCAGTTTTCTTTCTCTGCTCTCCTCTCTTGCCCTCTCTCATAAACCAGGAAAAAAAACATTTCAGAATCCTTCCCTGGGCATGGCCAGTCTCTTCAGGTGATGAGGATCTCCTGATGTTCTGTAGTTTGCTGTCTGTGTGCCTGCTTTTGGGGTAATTTCCTTGTCCGTGGGCTCTGCTGTCAGCCCCCAGGATTGTCCAGTCTTCAGGTCTATTGTCCAATATTATCAAAGGAAAGTGGAAAAATGGAGGGTAAGGCAGAAAACAAAGGGCACCGAGGCAAAATCAAGCATCTTTGTAGGCCTTGCAGTATTCTGCTGGCTCTGAGCAAGCCTTTCACTCAGTTACTTAACTTAGCAGGCAACTTGGAAAATGAATTAAAAATGCGTTTGTTCCTTTGGCAAACTCTGGAAACAAATCTGGAGGGAAGAGAGTGCCTGGAGAGTTACTGAGCTCTTGTGCTCCCTGGCAGCCTCAACACCATTGTTACTCCTGGTGAGAAACCAGAAGAGCTGCTTCTCAGGCTGACAAGATCCCGGGATGAAAAGCACAGACTGTCCCCCGTGCTTTGGAGCAGGCTGCTGGCTTTTCCCAGCATGTGTCACACAGCTGTGTGTGTAAAGGGCACCCCACAGCCCTCCTTCCCAGTGTGGATCCTGCAGAGAGCTGCAGGGCAAGGACCATTATCTGTGACAGGATCTACTTGCCTCTGGAATGCTAAAGGGCAGAGCAGAGAGCAGCATTTAGCCCTGTCTTTATTACACTGTGGTGCCATCTCCCCTTTGTTTTAAAAAAATCAGCCTTCAATGCATTTAAAAACAATTACTGGAAGGAACAAAATCCCATCTTGCTCTGAACAGCTTTTGCCAGCACTCAAGGAGACTTGAGAAAACAGAATACCCCTGGCTGGCCATGGAAGATGGCTGGGATTGCAACCTTGCTGCTCAGCCCTTGCTGGATCCAGAATTTACACCATAAAAGGACCAAACCTGAAACCTGAAATCCACAAAACAGAACATAAAAATCCATTTCTGGGTCACCTGCATCTCAGGTCACAAGTCCAGTGTTTCTAGAACACAGTGTTTCCATGACAGTGGCATGACAACATGAGAGAAAATGGGATTATCAAGTCTCTCCACAGATGAAGAGTAATGTAAAATCATGTCAGCCTAGTGACACTATGTCTCTCCTACTTTTTACACATAATATTATTACCTGTCTTCTTTTTCATGCCCAAGCCCACAGCAGTACCTAGAAATCACTGTGTATTTTTTCCAGAACCTACACAAATTCTATACACACAACTGTATTTTATCATATTCTTCTATCTCCCTCCAAGCATATCTGATAGTTTTCTATAATAGTCAATACACCAGTTGGTATCAAACAGGTAATTTCTACTGATCTGCTATTTTACCTAAAAACGAGAATTTTAGACTAGCACAGTCCTCACTCAAAACAGCTGACAACATTCCTTTGAAACTGTCAGAAGCAGATTTTCAACAGAGAACATAATTTTCCAGAACACAGAGACATTTTGAGAATTACTTGCCCAAATGATACCACTTACACAAGTGAAAACTAAAACTGAAAACATATATAGGACTCCTTTTGTTTTCCTACAAATCATCAGCGTTGTTTAACTGCACTCAAGTACAGGAACTCTGACCATCGGTCCAATACAGCAGAATATGTGATAATTAAGTTTCCTTACCCTGTAGATCCCTGCTGGGCTTAAAACAATGCCATTACTCCAGTGCAAAGCCCCTCAAAGGCTGCTCACTAGGGACGGGCTTGTACTTGGGAGTTTCTGGACGTTTATTTCAGTGCAAATCCTGCCAGGAAAACAGAACTTACTGCTTGTTGTGAAGTTGCCCTCTCCAGGCTGGGGAAAGGAGTCGACGTCGTGGATGACCTGCAGCGCTCCCAGGGCACGGGCTGGCGGGTCCAGGGCCACCGAGCTCTCGTTCACGGTTATGTCACTGGCCCCCGTGATCTGGTTGGTGGGTGCCCCTCCTATGGATGCTTCCAGGTCTGGAGGTATATCATCCATGCAGTCTGCGTTTGGCTAATAGGAAGGAAAAGGAGAAAAAAACCCGAGTTCCTACCTGATAAAAAGATTCAGTTTACTTCTTGTTCTGTTTTTTTTTTTTTTTCTTTATTTCGGTGTTGAAAATGACAACGTACAGTAAATAGACACACGGTTTGTCTTCGTGGACTTAAAACTCTACACAATCTGTTGGAAGAGAGACACAAAGTATGCCACGGAAATACTGAGTATTAAACTGTGTCACCTACAATTGCTAAACATTCTTCTTTACACTTTTAAAAGGGTTTGGGAATGTGCACATCAAAAAACTAACTCACTTATGGTGTGATCTGCTCAACACAGGCAGATTGCTGAATCACATAAAAAATGTAAACAAGATAGGAGCTGAAGTGGAACAATTATCTTTCCAAAATATACATTTTACAGAGCCAGTACCTGAGCTTACAGGAATAAGGATTCAATAAGAACTGCATCTACGTGTGTGCTGCAAGACTAGAAGCTAAAGCTGTTTCTAAGACAAGTTTCTAAACATCAAAAGATCATTTCCTTTGTTAATACTATATTTCCTACAAAAATACAATTATGTGAAAAGAAACAAACAGACAATAATGGGAAACTGAAGAGCATTATTTGATTAACAGTCTTACTTGCTACATGAAGCAAGACCAGTGACAGAGAGACAGAGCAAGACTGAGCTGAAATTTGCAGATGCCTTGTTAAGTTAGGAAATGTTAATGTAAGTTTTTCCCATTTATCTTGATTCTCCAGGAACCAGACAGCACGACTGGATCAGTCACCTGGGTTCCCTCTAACTTGAGGGGTTTGAGACATTTTTGCTGTGTGGTTCTAGGTATGAATTGCTCCCTCTGCTCAGCACTAAGCAGAGACAGGGCTTAAGTCCCTAAACTGGACACCCAACATTCAGGTGGCCAATGCCAGGGGAGGTAAACCCTTTCTTTGGTGGATCTGATCTTTTCCCTATGCTTAGCTGTCTCACATGCCAAGGCACTTTGGAAAACCTCACTCCCTGCCTATCTCCAACAGCAGGCACCAAGAAACTCAGCAAAATATGATAGAGCAAAGGCTTAAAGAGAGATTTAACTTAAAGCTCAAGAGAAATCCCCTTGAATTCAAGCACAGAAGGTTACCATATGTTTACTTTTTTTTTTTTTTCAGAATCAGGAACTTAGCATGTTTTCTCTTTTTCCACACATTCCCTGTCTGATTGTTGTCACCTCTCAAGTATTTTTTTCACAAGTGTTCCTAATGAAAAAAGACAGGCAATTTAAGCAGTCTTGTACCCACAAACTGAAGTTTGGAATGAAAAGTAAAATTGTTGTTGTCTGGCTCCAGTCTAATCCACAGGCAGCAAGAATGTCTCAGATTTGAGATAAATAAGGCACATTCAACTATACCAGGTGTTAATGAATCTCATTGAAACTGTACTTTTCCAAGTCAAGTACCAATCACTTATCTGTAGGACAGGAATCCAAAACTATCCCTTCCATCTATCACTCCCTCTCGACAATTATAAAACAATGTTTTCAGAATCTCATTTTTAATTTAATTTACCTTTGATGGCAGTGTACATTAAAAACAAAAGGCCTATTTTTCCTTTCACCTATAGGAAAAATTATTTCAGTTTTTCATGGGATCAGCTGTCTGTCCTTTGCTCTGATTCCAGTTATTCCTAGAATGAGGTTTTATCACAAACTTTTAAACCTTTTAAAGAGAGGATTATAATTGAAAGCCAAACCAAACATTAAATATGCAAAAAAAAAAATTGCTTGATATAATGAATCCCTTTACTCCTGAATCATTTAAATTGGAAAAAAAATGCCCAAAACAAAGCAGCATGCTAAGACACTAATTATGTGAAATACTGATCAGAAAAAAAACCCAAACCATTATGGCATTGGCTGCCAGAGTGACCCAGATACAGTTGCTAAGTTTAATTATATTGGTTTCAGTTGTGCCCTGCATGTAAGTGCTTTGAGAGCACAATTCCACTCAAGTCAAGGGAAAGCTTTGTATTGACTTCTGAGGGCTTGGCTAAGGCTCTTAGTGAATAGCTTCAAGTCATACAATCTGCTGCCAAAAATGCAGCTGACTGCAGATCCAGCAGATGTTTGCAGAAAAGGGGGAGAAGCAGAGGGAAATAATATTTTACATGATATGATTGTCCCAATAGCAATGTAACTCTTTGAAAGTGAAAGACCCTTTCACTGGTAATCCATTTCAAATATTGCAGGTGCAGTCTGAGCTGGGTTTGGCAGCAAGAGTGGAAAAGGTCAGGCCAACCATTTGCTGGTAGATAGTGAGTTAATAAATCCTCTGGAGCTGCAGAGAGAAGTGGAGGTGTTGGGGTGCTCAGTGACTGTGAAAAAGAGTGCAGGAGTTTTGGTGCCTCATGGCTGCCTGGGGAATCTGAGCTCAGGGTAGATAATATTTGAAGTCTCTATTACAAAGTAAATGCATAGTTCAGTTGTGAATTGAATGGAAACATTTAAATATTTGGGGTCTAACCAATCCTTTCCTGGAAAATGCAAAGTCTTCCTGCTAAATGAAGCACAATATATCCCCAGACACACAAGCCAGGTCTTTAATAACAACCACAGGACAAACATTCAGCTGGTGGGGAAAAAACAAAACCCCATAGCCTGTCTATGGCAAGATTTCCTCATTCCTCCCATTGTCAAAGCCTGTAAAAGGGCTTTGGCAAATTTGTGCCCAAGTCTCCCATCAGAGGCTGCCTAAGGCTTTTTTCCTCTTTTGTGGGTGGAAATTTCAGCTAAGAGAGCTCAGCAAGACTCAAGAACGTGGTTAGGGAATGACATTTTGCTTTAACCACTCTACAGAAATGTTTGCCACCTCTCACTGAGAAACCCTAGAACTTTACAGGTTCCCACAGCAGCCCATGGACATCTGGCTAAGTGGTGAGTCTCTAAAAACACCAGTTCATGTGTGCTGGTGGCTTTTTTGGCTCATGGGAGCACCAGAAAGCACACCTTAGCAATGATGCCCACCCCAGGCTGCCCTCAGCTGGTGCTGGGCAGTGAGAAGGGTGAGGACAAGATGATTTCTGAGCAGGTGGAAAACAGGTCCTGTGAGCTGAGCAGGAGCTCTAAAAGACACAGTTTGGGCAGGAGGGGTTATGCAGAGGAGAAGTGGGAGAGAGCATAAGGTAGGAAAGGAATAAAAAGGAGTTGAGGTGTATTTTAAAAAGAGAAGGTAGAAAAAAAAGAGAGGAAGAGGAGCAACTGATAGCAGTAGAGGAATTTTTAACCCTCAAGCTACCACATGCTCTTATACCTTCACTTCCTTTGCTGTCAGTCAGGGCAAACCTGACACAAGGGCTACTGTCTACTCCAATTTCCTGTAGACAGCAGGTCCTACTGTAAATCACTTTGAGGGATAAGGCTCTCCCTTCATGAACATATCAAATGATCCATGTATGCTTCCTCCAAGAGATGAAGAGGGCTCTTTTCAGCTTGTTGTCTTAGAACAACCTATAGGAATTTTTTAGAGAAATTCATACCACAAAATCCTCTAAAAAAACTGTGCTAGTGGAACATTAATATGCAAATACTTTATTTTTAGTGTTAAGACAGACCAACACTGAAGCTGACTTGGAAATCTTAATTTGAACCAGTTGCTCATGTAGGTTACAGCAGCATCTTTAATTCTATGCCCAATACAATTATTTCCACAGAAGCTCCATGCAGAAAGCTCTCAGTGAGGACAGCAGGATGGATCCCCACTCTGCTGTGCTGTACAGAGAGGAAAGGGAGCTATGAGAAAGGAAATGGATTGAGGAAATGGAATGGTGCTTCAATTATTCCTGGCAACTAGGTACTTCTACACCTGCCACTACAGAGCTGTTCATAGGCAGTGAAATCCATCCATGTAAACCAAAACTTCTACACATGGCCTCTGGGCATGTTTTTTTGTTCCACTAGCTGTGCCCAGCCTCAAACAGCCTGTGGATATGTCTAGTCTTCAGCAGCAGCCAGTGAGAGCTGTGTTCTGGATGTAAATTCCAATAGCACTAAACTTTGTGGGAAGCCTTTAACATCTCACTGCATTGGTCTGGTTTACCTGTAGCCCCTGATTATGAAGCTGGACAAAAGAGCACATTAATGAAGTGCTGGACAAAAAATGTGAATGGGCCAGTGTGAGAGCAGAAATGCTATGGTGCTGTCAGATGCACAGGGAAGCCATGGAACAACACACTGGGTAGGGAGAAGAGGTGTCAGAACCCTGTGTAACTGCTGCTGGCAGGCCTGGTGAACTGGGATGGAACCCGGGGAAATATTTCTGTATTTAAGCCTCGGTGCAGAGGTGCTGAATGGCAGAACTAGCCCTCATTCTGGCTTTCCATCTCAAGCACTGATTTAAGAGTCACATCACCTCTCCATACACTAAAGACAATAAACACGTTTAGCAGAAAAAGTAGCCAAACTGTTTCAGTGTGTTACCCTAGCTACAATGCCCTGATTCTTTTTCCCCTCTGCACGTTTTTAGTTTGGATTAGATTAGGTTATTAACATATCTGCCTCCAACCTGCTTCCTGGTCTGCATGAAACTGAGTTCTCTGAGATTGGCTATACCATTTTACTTTATACAGTTCTTTCAAATGTGAACTGGTGCCTCACTGACTGAAACTCAGGGGGTTATTTGCAGCACCTGTTAATGCATCACCTGGAGGTGTTTCAGCATTGAACTTCACAAGCCTTGCTCAGTGGGGGAGAGTGACTCACTCCTTCCTGGTGAAGCCCCTGAGCTCCATGATAGCTCCAGTTGGGAAACTGTATGGCAGATAGGACATTCACTATCTGAAAGCAAACATGTGACTTGGAAAGATCAATTACTTTGGCAATTTCTAACCACATTTGAATGTTCCAAATAACAAAGAGCTTAACAATGGTATGTCATGTGCTCCACCACAGGCTCAGTAACTCGGAGAAATGGCCCTTAGCTGGATTTAGGAGTACAGATCTTGCTTCATATAGACTCTAAGAGAAATCTGACAGAAAAAGGACTTGCTTCCCCAGAATGAGCAATTAGTTGTCCTTGATGAGTGTAGCAGAGAAAATTTTACTTGCAGACTTTCTGCTTTCAGATTTGAACCGAGGGCATGATTAAAAAATAAATCCAGTCCTGAAAGCTACGTGAGAGATTCTATAAATCCACCAAAACACCAGTGAACAACCTTCTGCTCCATCAAACAGGCAGCCACAGACACACAGATCCCAACACCCCACCAACCCCCATGCACACACTCTCCCTTGCTAATACAAGTGGGGTGCAGGACAGAGGTAGAGCCATTTCCAATTGCACTTCCCTTAATAAATCAATTAATTATTCAGTGATATGGCAGAAAGAGTGAGATGGGAAGAGACAGGCAAAGGCTAGGGACATACTCAGGTGGCTGGTGTTTGTCTTCTGCCCCGATGGGCTGCTCTGCAAAGTGCTTACCGGAATCCCCAGAGCTTTCAGAATATTCATTTTACACATCGGGCAGGTACGATGGTCTAGCAGCCAGGGGTCTACACAGGACTTGTGGAAAAGATGCCTGCAATGAAAACCAGGATATCTTAACTCAAATGCACCACAGCACAATTTACCACTTAGTACCAGATGACTCTGAATTCCTTTAAGTGAAAGTATTTCAATGGGTGCAGTTTGTGACCTCTGCAAGGACTGCAGAACTAGGTCCTATGCACACCAGGCTAAAAAGATTCCTGCAGCAACTCAAGCACATGTGCACATTTCAATGTGTTTGATATAGAAGACATACATATTTAGAGACTTAGGGAAAATATCCAAAATGCATTAGCAAACCCCATATTCTTTTCATGTTAAAGGCTGTCACGAAACAAAAGCTGCTTGCTGGTAAAAATCATGTTCGTTTTTCTTAATAGTTCTACAGACAAACCTGATTACACATAATTTAAATGTGAAGACATTGAGGGTCTAGTATTTTTCAGGATAGAAGCATAAAAAATAAGTTGAATTAGAAAAAAAAAAAAAAGATATTTTTCATTTAAACAGAAAACCAGTACAACGCTTTAAAAAATATTCTCCTCCACTGCCCTGTTCTTTACAAGAACAGAGAAGTTCTTTAGAGAGCTCCTACACAATTCCCTGAAGGAATTGTTGCTAATCCTGTTCTGAGGCTGAAGTGAACACCAAGCAACTACCTGAGCCCTGCAGCTGCTGGGCACCACTTTTCCTAGACATTAACGAGGTGGAGGAACTGCAAGTTTCTTGTTTAGCTGTGCCTTTAACAAACTGATAGTGACTGTAGAGATCTTTAGTGTGTAACTACATTCTCTCCTGAGAGTATATTCTGTTACTGGGAATACTAGCAAACATCTCTTCACCCAAAAAGGGTGGCCAGGCATTGGAACAGGCTGCCCAGGGAATCCAGTAGTATCTGGAGGTATTGAAGATGTGTGGATGAGGCACTTGGGGACATGCTCTAGTGCTGGTTCTATTGTTAGACTTGAAACACCTCAATATCTGTATGATCCTAAGGCTCTGCCTGGAGCATGGCACACGCCAGTCTCTACAAGGAAATGCAATCTCTGAGAAAGCCAGAGTCACCTCATGTACCAAAGGAACTCTAAACATTTAACTGCTACTTATTCAGCTGAATGGGTCAGCAGAGGAATTGTGCCACCACACAGCAAATTATTGCATTCCTGTGCTTTGTATCACTTCATACAACTATGGGAAAGGGCAAACATACTCTTGGAGGTTTGATCTAGTCTAATTATATCAGCTGGCTGAGGTATCAAACCTCATTTGATCCTGTATGTCAACACGATTAATCAAATGAAGCATTGTGATATTTGAAGTTTAAGCCACTACTTTACTAAGGCTACCAAAGTTCACAGCTGTCCTTCCCAACAAGACCTGACCTAATGGATAACAACAAATGAATTAGATTTTGGTAACATTTTCTTCCTTCTATCTTAGGAGGAGCATATTCAGCACATCATCAGACAAGCATTCTGAATAGGTAAAAGCATAAAGATACAGTTCTTATGCATGTGCAATTTTACATTTAAAAGTCTAACCATCAGATTTTCTTGAGTTTGTTAATTCACAGAGGGTGCTGAAAATCTGTGTCTTGCCTTTCAGCTACATGAGATAATGATGAGATTCTTGTTAGTGATTTGTTTTCTTTAATTATATAATCAAACTCATAAATATGCTTATTGGCAAATATCTGAAGCACATTTGTGTCAAAATAATCAGTCCATTTACAAAACCTGAGATATTTATTAATCTCTCAGAAAAATTTCCAAAATCTGTTTTGAATAAAATATACATAGTTTCCACCAAGGCATTTTTACCACAGACCAGCAAATCCCCTTTCATTTTCAATTTCCAGCTTTGAAAGCCTCAGTCAATCTGGGGTTCATATTAGAGAATTTAATGATGTTTGTTCATCATCAAAACTTTGGAACACTTTCATGCCTTAAAGACTTTAAAATCTGAAGTTCAGTATTCCTGAAATTGGCTTCAAAAACAATATTCTAAAATAAATCCTAACAATGCCAAGTAATTTAAATAAATGACAGATCTTGTCACTTTGCACTTCTCAATACTAATCTAGCACAGCGTATTACGACTCCATTAATTTCACATTTAATATGTATTACAGAAGGAACTTGATTATTTGACAGAAATCCACAGAATAATGGAATGCTGCTGAAGATCAGGTCAAGATTTACCTTTTAAAATTATTGTACTGCATGATACAATTAGAGCTCTTATAATACCTGTTTTGAACATTTGTGCAGAAAAGCAAGGTGGCAGGCTTGGCAGATTTGGATTTGAAAGTTTTTTAGGTATAGCACTATGTATCTGCTTATGGCATTCAACAAATTGTCCATTGTTTTATGTTTCAAATTCATGCAAAAAAAAAGGTCAGCATCAAGTAGGACAAGAGCAACTGCAGTATTTCACTGTCACATGGTAAGACAAAGGTAAAAAGATCAATTGAAACAAAAATCCCTCCCTTTGCAGTTCTGACTGACCAAGTTTTAAATGGAAGGAAAGGACAGAGCCATCATGGATGATTTCAGAAGTAATGACCCATACAGGGAGACAGTAAGAGAAGTTTCAAGCTCAGCCTCAGGACATGGCTTTGACAGTCAAAGTCAAAGCTAGAAAAAAAATACAGTTTTTTTCCCCCCTGTTGTGTGCAACCACATTCATTTCAAAACAACGTTGATTTGGATGGGTTGAAAAGTTTCTCAAAAGGACTGCAACTGATTAGTTCAAAGAGCGAAAGGCAAGATGTTGTAACAACCTCAGAAAAAGAAGTTTTCATAAGGGAAAGGAAAAAACTCCTTTCCACCTCCACCTCTCCCAGGGATAAGAAGCACAACGATGTTGTTTAAACTGCAGCAAGTGAGATCCAGGTTACACAATAAGGAAGGCTTTGCCACAGTCAAGGTAACAAAGCACTGCAATAAATTACACGGGGAATTTGCAGTTTTCATCCCGGGAGAGTGCAGAGTGTGTTGGAAAAAGCTGCCAAGAATGACACGTGTGTGCCAGTGCTCCAGAGGTGCTGCCTCCTGGGATCCCTCCTGCACTCTCCTGGGCTGTGCAAAGCTCACAGAGCACAAAGCAAAAGAACCTCCGAGTCCCAGAGCATTCCACTTACCATTAGCTAAACAGCACTTCACATTCTCTAACTAGACATTGCTTTTGTCTGAAATGTATTTATGTTTTCTTTAAAGATGCGACTTTAACCATATAAGGAAAAAAAAAATCATGTTGCACTAAGCCAAAATAATAAAATAATAATAATAATAGCAGTACAACTATTGTAAAGTGTTCAGCTTGCCAGCAATTTTGAGAGGATTTTTTTCCAGACGAAGGGAAACTGTTTCCCTCCTTCCTTCCACTCTTAGTCTCTCCTATGCAGAAAGAGAGGTACATCCCTGATAACATAAGTAAGAGCATCAGTTGCCTGGATTAGACAGGGCTGAAGTAAAGGATTTAGATTTTGTGAGAGACTGAGTATCACTGTAGTATCTAACAAGAAGGTTTGAGATTTTGGGGGGGTGCATGTACAGTATTATTTACTTCTGAGGACAACAAAGGAAAATGATGATGAGGGTGAGAGGAAGGAATCAAAGGGAAGAATGTGTACGATGAAATAATTTTCACAGGAAGCTAACAAAAAGAGAAAGAAGGAGTGAGAACTCTCTGAAATCACAGTTGTTCATGGGGTGAAGGTTCAGGGGAAAAGAATGAGCTGGAGCAAGGTCAGAGAATGTGTTTACTGGTGAAAGAAATGAAACAGTGAATAAAAGAACCTAAGAGGCACTCAGCAGAAATAAGGTTGAAAGAAATGCCTTGCTTCTCTATAGAAGCTTAGTAAAATCAGTAAAAGTTTTACTAAAGGCACACAGTGGGAGCAGCAGGATCAGTGCTTTCTCCAAAGCTGGAGCAGAAAAGACACCGGTGTTTTGGAGCTGGAAGACAAGCAGAATGAAGTAGGGCTGTGAGAAGAGATGTCACTCTGGGAACAATGAACTTGGTTACATTTGATCTTGTGTCAGTGCCCTGAAAGACAACTTTAATGCTACCATTAAGCATAAAACCAGCTGCAAGTCAATGCTTTTTACTTTTACAAAGTGTCATTCCTTATTTATTTAAAACACTCTGTAGAGTGAAGTTCATTACTACATCAGTTGTGGGAGCTAACTGACAAAGACAGAGAGGAAGAAGCACAAGTTCACTTGGAATTCTCCTCCAAGCTTTCCAGAGTGGGGTACATAAAAACATATCCCAGTGCCAGCAGAAAAGAGAGGACATTTGGGAAAACAGCCCAAGTCCTAGTAAACATTTGACTATTTTACTTCAGAGCTCATCTCTGCTATACTGGAGGATCAGTGATGTTCCCATGTTAGAAACTGTGGCTTAACTGAGAATGCTGGAGCAGGAAAACTACAGAGTCTGTAGGTCTTTATCTTTCCTACTCCCTTCATAGAAACACGAGTGCCATTTCATGTTTCACAAGTTCAGACCCATGCGAGTTTGAAACACTGCCCTCACAGTTTGTGCAGCAGCAAAGCCAGGGCTGGTGAAACAGCTGCTTGAGAAAGATCTTTGAGTTTTTAAAATTCCAGACTGCTAAGGCTCAAACTGTGGCTATTTTACAAGCCAGTTCTGCTACTGCTACCCTTTTAGCATGAGTCATTTTCTGGGCGACCTTTTATGTCAGCCAAGAGCTAAGCACCACCTGTTAACTCTGTGTTTCCTACTCACTCTGCTTGATGCAATGCTGTGGGTGACAAAGGCTCATTGAATTATGAGGTGGGACACAAGTGAAAGCTAAAGCTTAGAAGTGTATTTAAGCTGTTGTACATCTACCTCCAAACACTGCCTGTGTCTATCCTGCAAAATTTCCAAGCTTTATTCTGCTTCCATGCAAACAGGCTTGATGCCAAACCAAGGTTCACATTTTCTGGTAATTTATCTTTTTTTTTCCCTCTGTCTTTCTGCTTCATGAAGTGATGTGTTTGTGTCTGCTTGTAGAAAAAAAAACAAAAGAGAATTCATATGCAATTTGTCATTGTGGGGGATTTACAGTAGGTCAAATTTATGATTAATCTGTTGCTTTGTGTTAGCCATTTAGTGATGGCAGTAAACAGATTTAATGAATCACATGAACTAACAGAAATGGACAGCTTGTAACATTCAAATATCTACTAGGGTACAACACAGCAGGAAAATAAACAAGTATTTTGGTTTCTCAAGCCAGTGAAAATGACTCAGGAGAAGAAAAGTTCTATTGAATAAAATAAAATCTCTGCTCTATATGTGCAGCACTTCAGATCTATATTTCTAGGGAAACCAAACACTTGCTGTTGCTCTCCTAGGGGCAACTGATCCTAGGAAATTTCCTAAGAAACTGATTTCCTTAGAGAAAAGCTCCATGAGGTAACACTTCACAAGAGCCAGTACAATAGCACAAAGATGAATACAGCTGTTAGGGGTGGCCAGAGGCTGCACTGCTGTGTCACATCCCTGCAGGTGGATGTGCTGCACAAGGCATCTTCACACCAGGCATGTTTTACTCAGTACGTCTCTTTCTATGGCTGGGGGTTTGTTTTTGACAGAATTAATCCTTTTCTCAGGCCCAGGAAGGCAAAAGAGGTAGCTCAATGGGGAGCAGGAGTCTGCTCTATCCCTGGCTGCTGTGCCCAAGGCTCACCTTCAAGTCAGAGGTAAATTCTCCTAAGGCATTTATTCTAAATTAAAAAACCCAAAAAAACAGTGAGGAAAACAGATGAATCAAAACTTGAGCATAAAAATTCTGCTGAAGACTTCGTTATAGGCCCAGGTCAGACAAAGTTTCTGACTATCATACTAAACCCTCAGGGTCTCACCATCATCAACACTTCATCTTGGATAAAAAGGCATTTCAGATATCTTTACCAACAGATTTTGAATAGGCCAAAATAATAAACTTACCCTTCCCCCCCAAAGTCCTCAATAATCTCATCAGTGTGAAACTGAGAGCAGAGACTGTCTTGAAGTAGAGATTATTAAAGCTAAAAGCACTTTCAATTTACCTGCAAGGCAATATCCTGACAACATCATTGGGCTTGTAGCCTTCGATACAAACAGCACAGTTATCAAAGTCTGGCTCAGTCTCCTACAGAAAAGAGAATATTCATCATATTCATTTTTTATTTTGTCAGCTAATCTCTTCATACAAGAGCCTCTGTGACAAAGTGAAACAGTTACCGAAGCAGACTGCAAATCCAGTAATGCATTTCAAAACCAGCAAGTCAGATTTTCTGACACGCTTCCAGCTGGAAACTTGCATTGGGAAGCATGCAGATTTAGTTAACGTGTTTTAACTTGCAGAATTTTCTGCATCTTGAACCGAATCACCCTCTCTCCCCACTCCATTCCATCCCTGACTTGCTTACCAGCACTCCTCCCCCACCTGAAGGGCACAGTAGCTAAATAAGCAATTGGCATTTCTCTTCTGCCTCGTTGTCCCAGAGGTCTGAAGGGACCCTCAGCACAGAGTTTCATTTAGTAACAAGCATTTTGAGAAATTACCTTGTCACCTTTCCTGATGGTCCTGACTTGCAGCTTGCTGATTGCTTTCTTTGCAGCATCTCCCAGCCGGCGCTGCAATACAAAATTTCATCTTGAGCAAAGAGCATCTCTCCATGCAGATATCCAAAATTTTTCTCCCTAGGCTTCTTAATCATTTTAAGTACATAGAACAGGATAGCATATAAATATAAACAGAATAATTCATAATAATGGCACAGTAGGTGTGCTACACTGCAGCAGTGTGTACCAATGTAGGTAACAAGCCCATTATTTGGGTATCCTACTTCTTCCCCCTCTTTTTTTAATGATACTTGTGAAAAAAAAAAAAAAATACTGGGCAGTTAGCAGAGTGAACACTGAACATTATTCTTACATTGTTCCATAACTAGTTCATGATCTTCAGCAGGATACAACTTCTGAAAGTAAGCTGTTAATTTTTTAACCACAAAACCTCTGAATAATCTCTCCTGTCTTTTTTTCCCCTGCAATACAGAGTTGCCTACTTTGTAAAAATGAGGTGGAAGCATCTGCAATTTCTTACAGGTAAAGCACTGCAGTAACATCCTGCTCATACATAACCATTTGCCCATTCTTTGCCTTTCTATCTTTCCCTCCAGTGGACCATGAAGTGATTGCCACGTGATGTTTCTGACTGTTCTCCTGTATTTCCAAAACACTGTTACTGTGCTGGCAGGGTCACAGCCACCAGGATTAAAGCATGTAATAACAGCCTGACACAAAACACCCTGTCTCCAGACACTGAAGGTGGACAAGTTTGCTCCTTGCAAGAGGCTGGGCACATGGAGGGGCAGCTCACACAATCACTGCTCAGCACCCTGTGCTATGGAACTTGGTCCTGTATCAGTGCTCCAAGGACCTGGCTGCTCACTTGTGCTAATCCAGCAACAAGGCAGTCTGGAGACAGACTCACAGGCTGGAAAAGTCTTTGGGAGGTCATGTACTCCCACCCCCTGCTCAAGGCTGGGTCAACTTCAAAGTCAGAGAAGAGTTAGTCAAGTTTTGAATATCTCCAGGAAAGGAGATTTCACAACCTCTGCAGATAATTTGTTCCAGTGCTTAACCAATCTCAGTCTTTCTTCTTCTCTAAACATACTAATGGAATTTCCCTTGCTGGTAATTTGTGACAATTATTCTGTGCACTTCCAGGAAGAGGCTGATTCTCTGACCACCCTTTTTGCAGCTGGAAGCAGAGCCCTTCCTCCTCCTACTCCTCCACTCCCCACCCAGCTTAGTATTCTCCCTTCACCCCACCTCAGATGCCATGTGCTCCTGCCCCCACACCACACTGGTGACCTCCTTTGAGCACACCCATTTTTTTTCTATGCCTCTCTCACATGGTTTCAATGCAGCAATGCTCATTCCAAAGTCTTCTTTATAACAGTTCATGTTCTAATTCACCACCAATAAATGATCTGAACTCTTCCCTTCACCTCCTCTCCCCAGCCACATTTCTAGCCATGTGTTGTTAGACAGGAGAAAGACTTAGGGCCTTTGGTGACTCAGGAGACATTCGACTTTCTGAGCTGGGAAACTTCTGTGCCAGAGTTCAGAGGAGCCTGTCAGCAGGAAGGGTTTCCAGCTGGAGGGTGAGAGAGCAAGAGGCCAACAACTGAAGGAAGCTTGAGATAGTTTAAAAGTTGAGACCTAATCACCACACTAATATGACCAGTAAGTTACCACTTTGGTCTTCAGATTAAATTAAAATCCCCAGATTAAAGTTACAGAGTGAGCTTATTGTATTGGAAAGGCTGACAAAACACATGCAATATTGAAAGCAGAGTGCAATTTCAGATCTGGCTAAGGACTAGAAAACAACCTTGGCTATCAGGAGATTTACATATGAGCTTTCCAGCAACTTAATTACTGCACGGGAAGGAGTATCTTGTAGTTATGCAACATCTCTTTCTGTGGTCCATTTTTCTCACAGTCTCCCTTAAATAAAAGAATCAAACAAGAGTTGGAAACATTTCTTGTCAGCTATTTGGTTCTTTAATGTAAATCAAAGACAGACAGATAACAGACAGCAAGACAAGAGCCATTATGTCATGCTTCAGAAAGTGCTTGTGATCCCTCATGTCTCAGTTCTTTTTCGCACATTCTTGAAGGGGAAAGGACAAGATTAAAAACTCATGTACATCTTTGATCTGCTTGCTTTCATGTTTGCTTTCTCTTATCTATCATAAATAGATAAGCTCATAACTTACATGCAAATGAGAGTAATTTAGTTTTTCAAAGAACAGGAATTTCTTGGACTCAAGTCACACTTTCAAAGGATTCTCCTTATTTGAATGCAAGACATGCTATCAATAACCAATGATTTTTCCTAAAAGATAAGAGGCATTACAGCAGTTTAAGGGTTTAAAGTGAGGCTTAGAGATTTACAGTCATAAATCTCATAATCCCATTAGCAAGGCTGCAACATTCAGTACTGGACTGGAAGGAGTTAAGCATATCAGGTGCAGTGGTCTTGAGGAGATGGCAATGCTCATTAAAAAGGAAGGACAGTCACATGGAAAGCACCACTTATGTGTTCCTGAGAAAGTCAATGGCCCTAAATGCTGTGAAAGAGAAGTTACAGTATGCTTCTCCCTTAATGGCCTTACTAAACTAGCACCTTTGCAGGGAGATCACCTTGTGCAGAATGAGCTGCATCACCAGCACGAGGTGTTGGACACATCCACCCACAGACAACACCTGCAGGCTCCATCACGGGAAGGAAGCATCTTCTTCAAAGACTGACATCCCTATTCAGTGGCCCAAAACTCTCATTCCAAGCCACAGCCACCAGTCTTTCTACCCAGATAAATGCTCCACATGCTGACAGTCACATACTAAAGATCCTCCTCAACTCCAGTGCAAGCACTACCTGCTCTGGCTTTCACTGTCCTGCAAAACCTAAGGAGCCCAACTAGCTTCAAAATGACTTTGTAGAAAACTTCCTCTGAACAAGAAACCAATGGAAAAAAAGGGATGTGGAAGAAATGTGGTAAACAAGTCTGGCACTGAAACATCATCCCCTCTTCATTTTCCCATCTCACAAACAATAAAAAGAGAACTCTACTATTACTGGTGAAATATGAAATCTGACACACTGACAGGGCTGGTTTATTGCTGTAGTTGTTGTTTTTGCCCTGGCTGTTACAGGGCTGTAACATCAGGTCATTTTGCTGAATTAACTCTGGAACTTAACTTGTCATGTCATTTGAAACTGCTTTTAATTAGCTCTGCAATGTGATGTTCCTCGATTTAAACAATTTCCACAGCCTTTTAGAAACTCTCTCAACTCTCATCTTCAGGAGCCCTCCAGGAACCAGCTGCTGAGGAAACAGATTTTTTTGCATAAATTTATCCTCTTCATGACAAAGGGATTCATCATCAGGGCAATCTCCTACTTCCTGGACATCTTGTTAGGTGGGGAAAAAAGGTTCAATCATGTGAATATTACTACCTATCTTCTACTTCCATATGTAATGCACAGTTGTCTGTGCTAGAGGTACTCTTAGAAATTCAATGTATTAAAATAAAAATTGATACTTGACCATGTTTGTAGCTGACACCCTGGCTGTAGGTACACAAGCTCATAGTGGAAGACAATTCTGTGCTCTACTGCATTAATTCCCAGCCAAGCTGGGATGAATAGGCACTGGCATTAAGCAAGAATCTTGGAAATCCTGATTCTCCACTCATCAAAATTAGACACCTAATTGGAGCAAGCTGTGTCTTCCTTCTGGCACATGAACTTAGATTTTGCACACATGATGAGGAAGAGTGGTGGCTGAAGATGTAGATGGACTATGTCCAGGTTTCATCTTAGTGTGGAGTCACAGGAAATGATTGCAGGAGATGTTTCAGTCTTTCTATATGCCTCTCTCAATAGCTGGACTCATTGCTTTATGATGGATAATTGAATAGGTTTGTTTTGGATTTATTGCTTGCTCAGAAACTTATGCCCAATGAAAGAAGGGAAGTGCACCTGGAAAACAGAGTCACCAGATGGAGAAGGACTAGACAAAACTGTTTATGAGGCTTGACAAAAGGACACTGATTTTAATCAGAAATTTGCGATCCCATCCTTGAGCTACAAGAAAATGTGTCAAAGAAGAAAAACCCCAGAACTTGATGGAAAACAGAGAGGAACATGCATAGGAAGGGCAAGAGCAAGCTGAGCTCTTCTGAACTACCTACATCATTATATTCCATCGGCAGGACTAAAAGAAACAAAACTAAAAAGCCACAGCAACCCATAAACACAAATGGCAGAGTTTTGTTTGTATATTGCTACAATTTTTCATATGAAAAGAGCTAAAAAAGAGATAACATGTCAGACAAAACTGCATGAAGAAAAGTGCATGAAGACTTTCTAGGTTGCCCCTTATTATTGCCCAGTTTTGCCCCCCCAAAATTAATAATATGTAATTACTTAGGAGGCATGCTTTCTAATTCTTCTGAAGAATAGAACTAATATAATAACCAAGTTATTAAAGCCCCTTCATAGGACAACTGCTAGTGTACACGTTGGTCTCATTCAAACTTTGGAAAGAAAATACTGAAAAGGAAATATGTTTGAACACATAAACACATCAGTTTCAAACTATGAAATATTACCTGAATGAACTTCTTATTTTGCTGAGTTTGATGTTTATGTGTGTCTATTTACACTGCTAAGCTGCCTGTATAATTACTTGATTGAAAGCACACTTACTCACACAAATTAGGCACGCATGTGCTTTTGCAGACAAAGCATCTAAAAATTATCACAGCCGTTGCAGTCACAGCGAATCTGCTGCCAATGATGTTCAAATTCCAGCTGGGATAGTCTCGTTCTTGCTATCCAAAATTTCAGACTGTATATTTAAAAGGAAAATATATTCTTTCTGTCTGTAAATACAGAGCAGCTGCTCTCCATCTCAGAGGATGCCTGAATTTCAATGGGGGAAGGCGAGGGATTCCTACACGACGAGTATTTGTTACAGAGTGTGCAGCAGCTCCTTTTCTCTACAAGATGATTTTTCATACTCTGAGTTTTACCTTGTCTGCAGAATAAGCAAGGCAACCCTCCTGCCCCGACAGCAATTTATTGAGGGTTTAGAAACCTCTCTGAATTTTTTCAGAGCATTTTTTTTCTGCAGTAAAATGGTTCTCTTCAGATTTCATACATTGATAACATTTTCTACTGTACCATTAGAATGAAATGTGGAAGCCTCAGGTTCCCAGTTCTGCTGAGACAGTTGCATCCAGACAAGAAAATATTAAATTTATTATTATTGTTGCTATTATTATTCACTGCTGAACTACCATAAAGATAGACAGTGCTTTATAAAACTGCTGCTGCTGACTTCTCTTCAGCTCTATAGACTTTTTATCTCTTTCAAGGGTTTGGACAAGATGCCAAAACCAATAGCAATGGTTTAATGACATTGGTGGCTATCACTACAGTCCTGTTCAGTGATCATTGCCAAATGATCAGGGACATGTTTGTCTTTCTAGCCCAAGACCCTTCTAAGAAAGCATTAAAGTGAGAATACTTTTTTTTTTCTCCTTTCTTCACTTACCATGAACCATCGCTTCACATACACATAGCTCACAGTGTTTTAGTTAGCATTTTGATTTCAAGGCTCCTTAGTTATAGACATTGCTATGACATTAGGCTATATGTACCAAAACAATCTTTTCATAAATAAACATCACCTTTCTGTCTATTTTTTAGTGTTTTGCATAAGGAAAAAAAAACCCATAATATACAGACACTATTAGTTTCTTTTTTTTCCTTAATCCCATCTATATTGACAGAAGTCTTGGCTTTTCCCAACCACAGTCATTTTTATATTCCCATTCTTTTCACTTTCTTGGGTTTTCTGTTTTCACTACACACTGACAATTTCTTCAACTGTTTTTTTTTTTTTTTTTCTACGACAAATCCCGTGGTGATTTTTTGGCAGCACCAAGAGTCACTCCAGCCCTGCTCACCTGATTCCTGTCTCTGGCGTTTGCGTAGCGGAATCTCTGGATGTAGTAGAAGACCAGCCATGCCAGGGAGATGATCATCAGCACGATGAAGGAGATGGAGACAAACACCACCGAGGTCCTGCTGACGTACTTCTGCAGGTTGCGTGTCCCGATGGTGATGTACATCATCACAGTAATGTTCCTCTCCAGGAGGCTCACTATCTCCTTCCCTTTGGGTTCAGGAATCATTATTGTTACAACATCTTCTAGGCCTATCACACACAGAGAGAGAGAAAAGGAACCTTAAGTAAAACAAGTGATCACCAAAAGGCAATCGTAAAATCAGAGTATGCTGAGTTGGAAGGGACTCACAAAGATCAGCAAAGTCCAACTCCTGGTCCCACACAGGACATCCCAAGAATTCCACCATGTGCCTGAGAACTCTGTCCAAATGCTTCTTGAACTCTGTCAGGCTTGGCTCTGTGACCATTTCCCTGGGGAGCCTGTTCCAGTACCCAAACACCCTTTGGGTGAAAAATCTTTTTTTTCAATATCCAACCTAAATCTCCTGACACAGCTTCATGCCATTTCTTCAGGTCCTGTCACTGGAGAGAAGAGATCAGTGCCTGTCCCTCCTGTCACTGCCCAGGAGAGTGAAGGGATCAGTGCCTGTCCCTCCTGTCACTGCCCAGGAGAGTGAAGGGATCAGTGCCTGTCCCTCCACTTCCCCTCCTGATGAAGGGATAACCACCCTGAGGTCTCCCCTCAGTCTCCTCCAGGCTGAACAGACCGAGTGCCCTCAGCCACTCCTCACACGGTTTCCTCTCAAGGCTCTTCACCACCCTCGTGCCCTCCTTTGGACACTCTCTAATGCCTTCATGTCTTTTTTATATTGTGGCACCCCAAACTGCCCCAGCCCTGGAGGTGAGGCTGCCCCAGCTCAGAGCAGAGGGGACAATCCCTCCCTTGCCCAGCTGGCCATGCTGTCCCTGATGCCCCCCAGGACAGGGTTGCCCTCCTGGCTGCCAGGGCACTGCTGGCTCACATTCACCTTTCCATGGAGCAGGACCCCCAGGTCCCTTTGCACAGCGCTGCTCTCCAGCCTCTCATTCCCCAGTCTGTCCATACATCCAGGGTTGCCCCATTCCAGGTGAAGAATCTGGCAACTTACCCTTGTTGAACTTCCTACAGCTGGTGACTGCCCAGCTCTGATTTGTCCAGCTTTGGCAAAACAGTAACAAGAAAGCTGTGCTTTTTTCTGCTCTTCCCTCTTGTTTACCAAGAGGGAAGTCAGATGGATCTGGTAAAGGTTTCAACTGAAACCATTTACACAGTGTGTTTCTACATAATGATCTTGGTGAGATACGTAAAATGTGCCCCATGGGCTGACATAAACACAGATTTCTAGCACTACTGAGGCTTATCTGGATGATATTGCTATAAACACTGCAGAAAGGGAGGCACACTGCACCCAACACTCCCATATACATTTATTTATTTGCAGGGTCATGAATCTGTCAGAGAAGCCCCTCCAAACTCTGCATTCAGATCAGAAACACTTTCAATTACAGATTCCCACATGGTTTCACAACTGCAATTTCCCAAAGCATCACTGCTCTTGCACCAGGCTGGCAACCAAAGAGCAGCTCAACATGGAACAGCTCAACATGGTCCCAGCAGCTTCCCACAGCCCAAGCCCATACAGAAATTCGGGACTCTGCTGGGAGCTTGACTCTCCAACTGATACAAGTTTGAAAGTCAAGAGCACTGTTTAATTCCACAAAAAATTGCCTTTGCAGCCCAGATCAACCCCTGGCACAGTGTGCCAGTGGTCCCACAAGGATGCAAGTCAGCACAGCTGAGGCAGCAAAATCCCACTAATGGGATGGGATGAAGCAGGGACTCCCTACAGTCCTGCCAAGCCTTCTGTCATGACCCCATGAACTGAGCCCTCCACCAATCTAGCACTGCTTGACTCGACACCAGTTATCCTTTCTGTACAGCACTGCTTGGTGTTACTTGCATCACACATTGCTGAAACTATTTCCTTTACAGTTTTATGTCCCCTATGTACATGAAATATAATGGCCTGAAATTATCTGCGATCCACCAGGTTGTTAAATGCCTTTTATGGCCTCACAAATACACTGCTTTACAGTTTAATATTAGGGATATTCTGTTCTTTCACTTCACGAAACAAGCATGTAGATTATTTTTACACCTAAAGTATGTTTGGCAATAACCAATTGTTCTAAGTAGCTAAGGACAGACAGGATGCATTGAAATGTAAAAATGTGCTAGGAACAACAGCAAATGAAATGATCACAAACTGGCATTTAGAGAAGTACAAACTGGGGGTGTCTGAACTCAAAGAGCTATGCTGGGTTGGGGCCTCAGAATTTCAGATGAAATCCCAGGACATGTTGTTAATCCCATGGCTCTCTGTATTTTGATATTTTGGTGGGAGGAGGAAGCACTGTGCTCACAGGGACATTCATGGAGATGGGAAGGGAACACTCAGCCACAAATGGCAGGGTGACTTGGACTTTCAACAGCATCCCTCTCCCTCCAAGCTGGTATCCACTGTGAGCATCAGCAGTGCAGCACTGTATCCTGGTCTGCAAAGTCCAGCTCAGACTAAAACCCCCTGGGAAGCATAAACCAGGATCAACTGGAGGTACTGAAGTAGCTGTGGCAGATTGCTGCTACTCACAGAAACCTGCTTTGAAGCTGGGAACTGAGCCCTCCTCTGCCAAGTCTCAGAGCAGAAGTGCAAACCCCACTCCTCTTCCTCTCCTGAGGTTTCCATCATAACACTTCCCTGATTATGAACAGCTCAGGCAATGAACAGAGGGGATCACCAGTTTGGCCAAGTCAGGAGTTTTAGATATCCACGACTGGAAACTGAACCTTCCTGCTGATACTTTTCTATAAAGCATTTTTTTTTCAGCTATTTCCCTTTATTTTTTTCTACCAGCAGTCCACCATCAGCAGTCAAGATAAATCTAACCTTGCAACTCTTCTGATACCTATTTATTACAAAAGGCTAATGCAAACATTACCCTAATGGCCTAGGGAGAATTTGCCAAGTCTCAAAGTGGCTGAGAAGGGCACTGGTGCCATGCCAGTAAATTTCCTGCAGTCAAAAAGAAAAATTGTCTAGAGCAGGGCATAGCTGTCCATATGACCTCCTTTGCTCTTTTCCCTGTCTTAAAAAAAAAAAAAAAACCAAAAAATTTTTCAATTCATTCTATGGGAAAACCAAAGCACCAATCTCATGCATTGCCAAAAAGAACCCACAGTGAAAAATTGCACAGCCAAAAATAGTGAATTTAATCAAATGCCCTCAAAAGCCACCACTCTGTCCAAGTGACTTACACAGTACTGACCTTCAACATCACCATCAGTACAACCTAGGACACTGCATGGCTATCACCTGAAAACCTATAAAAGTGGAGATAGGGACAAACCCATTTCCAGTAGAAAATACAGGTAGTATCTTAGCTACTTAATAATCTTGAATCTTGCATGTCTTTAAAAATTTTAACAATGTGTTTAATTAAATTAATGTTTATGATGTTTAATATAGCTTCAATATACTTCTGAACACAGGACACCAAGCAAATTGCCATGGATATATTAAATAAAACTATTTTGAAATGCAAAGTAGAAGACACTGTTATTCCAAGAGGAAAGCATCTGCTTTTATTTATTCAAACCCTTAATATATTAAAATTTCAAGCTACCTGGTTATTTTCTTGGAAAACATTACCACTTGTAATGAAGCATTGTTGGAAAAAATAACCAAAGCAGTGACAAACAATAATCAGATTTTTAAAAAATGTTTTACTGAGTTTATGATAATTTCTCCAAGACATTCTAGAGAATGCTATTTATCAATCATGTTATTAAGATATGTTTTTAATCTCAAATATTAGGAAGAAAATAAAAGAAAAAGTAATTTCTCTTTTCTCCCTTTTTAAACGAAATATTTGTATTACCTCAGTTTCACATACATTCCAGCAAACATTAAAAATATGCAAATTAATGAAGGGAAATAACACAATGAGACATCAGTGTTAGAGATGCATTTTTATGCCCAAGTATACATTTGTTCAACAGATTGAAAAAAGAGAAAGGATCTAGTAACAGGTACTAATGCTTCCCTGGCAAGCTAAATGCTACCACTGCCTTTCATTAAACACACCCACAGTGGGAACTGCATTCTGTGGCACTCTTGTTCCCTAACACATTTCTTTTCTTTTTCTGGCCAACATTAATGCAGAGTTTGACATGAATTTTTAAGTAGCTGTCAGGATGAATCAGAGATTCATAAATCAAAGGTATTCAGGCTGCAGTGAATGGATTTTATTTTTCTTCCCTTTTTTTTGGCTAAGGAAATATTTAACATTATCAGTGTTCTCTCCTAATGAGTCAATAACCAAACAAGTAAGGTAGAAATTACAGGCATTTGGGAGGATTTAAGTCATTTTAACTTGCTGAAGTGTGTCTGCCTAATCAAATAGTTCTGGGTGGAGAAAATGCATGCTTTGGAAAAAGAGCCAGAAGACCCTCTCCAGACCCACCCTCTCCATGCAGTACTTGGCTATGGAAATACATTTCAGCAGATAATCTTTCATACAAAACCTGCAAATTTCAAGGGTAACCCTCTATTCACTAGTGACAGAGCAAATGAAAGATTTCAGTGCAGGAACAGTGGCTTTTGTAGAATAAATGAACAGTTTTACATCCAGAAGATGGACATAAATGTTACACCTTGGCTGCTGCAAACTTGTGATATTCCTTGATTTTGCTCTGGGAGCTTCAGAGGTGACACTGAACACAGTCCTCTCTTCTCATTAGCAGTCAAGCCCAGCAGTGGTGGGGCTGCTGCTTTAATGCTTTGTAAGTTTTTGATGGAGGCTCTGAAATGTGGTCTTTCTGACACATTTTAGAATGGGCAGTTTAATTTTTCATGCTTGAAAGCAGCTAGAAGTCAGTCAGAGAAGTTAACTGAACTATTTGAATAGAATTTCAGTTTGGGAGGCATATAGAGTCTTTTTTCCAAGATATCCTATCAAGATACAAATGAAGATTTGTCATATATTGTAGATTACAATCAAGTATTGAAGTGATTACTTTTACAGATATTTTTAAGTGAAAAATCAAACACTATTTTGAGTTCAGAAATTGCCCTGACCGTGTTCAATCCAGCTCAGAGCCCAGGAACAGAAATTTTACAGGAAGGTGCACGAAGTCTAAGCAACTCTTC